AAGTTATGTTGCAAAGCTTCTAAGACGACCCAGGATTATTTCTCTTCTTTGCTAGGTCTGAGCACACTTCAAAGAAGCAAATATTGCTTTTTTCATGATCATTATAGTCAGACGGTTTGTCTTCCACCACACTTTGTTCTCTTTTTCACCTCCCGAAGGGTGGAGGGGATCATTAGCAACCATTCAATAGAGTCTGCAGGCAGTCATTTTCCTGGTATTATGGACATTCTTCTGCTCTAGAGTCACAGGCAAAAGCATTCAACACCCGCTCACCCTCTCTACATTTTAAAGACTGGTAGCCAGGAGCAGCAGGGACACCATTACTTTTCACAAACTGTATCATGTCCAGAAGGGTAGCTGTGTTAGATGCTGTAGCAACAAATAGAGTATTTGGATGTCATTCAGACCTGTCTCTACTTCAAGGCCAAACTTAAAATAAAAAGTAAGAAAGAAAGAAAATGTCCAGGCTGCATTCAGACTAAAAATTCCATTGCCAGAACAGTCTGATTCGTACTTTCTGCAATCGAACCAATGTGCTCAAATAACTTCTCAGAGTGGCAGATGATGCAACATGCAAAAAGCTTAAGCACAGAACAAGCAACCATAGGTTTTTTTTTTTTTTTTACAAGGCCTCTCCAATGTTAAACTGTTTGACTTAGTAAACAACTGCTTTGCACATCTTGGAACCTCTTCGTAACACATGACTTGCTACCTGCTGGAGTTCATCAAGGTGCCACCAGAAATGACAACACACTTACCTCGTGAGGCAGTCTGTGTGGCAGCCAAAAGCTATTATGTAATGCAAAACAAACAGAGCTGGACATGCCTCCTTCCAGCCCCAGAATCCTGCAGCATGAGGACTCCTGCTGCATCTGTGCAAATCTCACACCAGCCCTTGGACTGTGCACACAAACGTGGGGAAGCAAAATGCTCACAGCATGGTGTCTCTAATCCCCATTATGCACCATGTTAGGCCCACCTAAGTTTTATTCAAAAGAACCAAAGGAGTTTGGAAAACTCTTATTATCTAGGTTAGTTTGCTCTACCAAATTCCCCCCCCCCCACACCTGCTCGTTTCAATATTAAGGAGATAGAAAATCAAAAGACCGTACGTTCATGCTGCCTTTCCACATCGGTCACAGATTTTTTTGATTTAGTGAAAAGCAGCTGTAAACTCACCCTCCTCCACAGAGCAACAATAGCTTTTAATGGCACCATTTCAGATTGCAACAGCAGACAGGCTTTTCAACAACACTTTTGATTGAGAAATCATCCAAGTTCCCCTGCTGATGCTTATCAGTCAAATAAAAGGAACCCCTTGTGCTTCCTTTCTTTCTTTCTTTCTTTCTTTCTTTTTCTTTCTTTCTTTCTTTCTTTCTTTCTT